AACTTCAGGAAGAACAACCTTCAGAGCACGGCCAAAGAGTCTGAAAAGCCCACAACAACCAGTGTATTGTTTTCTTCATTTATTTTAGAATAGAGCAATGGCCCTCTCAGATTGCTCAAACTAGTCCTCTCACTGGTTTCCTTTCCTTTACACTCCTTCCTTGACCCAACACCCCTATCTGTTCCACAGATAAGGGTGTGGCAACATCCATGTGCTTATGGATCTCTGGACTGTAGTGTTACTTGAAGCATCACAACAGTTAAAAAAAAGGTCGTGGGATGCAGCCCCTGGTACCCTGCATTAGCACCAAGCAAAACTCCAGAGCCACGCCAGGATGAAGCAGAAAAGCATCTCAAGAAGTGGACTTGTCCATGAAAGTTCACATTAAACTTAGCCGTTAGTCTTTAAGGCATCGCTGTGTTTTTGTCTTAGAATCATAGAATCATGGAGCTGGAAGGAGCCTCCTAAGGCTATCAAGTCCAACCCCCTGCTCATGGCAAGAATCCAAGTCAAAGCAAATTTGACAGAGGATTGTCCAATTTTCTCCTCCAGTGCTGGGGCACTCACCACCTCCCGTGGTCATAGGTTCCATTGTCGTACTGCTCTAACGGTTAGGAAGTTTTTTCTAGATATTCCACCGAAATCTGGCTTCTTGTCACTTGAGCCCATGGTTGCGTGTCCTGCACTCTGGGATGATCGAGGACTGATCCTGCCCCTCCTCTGTAGGACAGACATTCAGGTATTCTTTAATTTTTATTTTGGTTTTGCCTGAGTTCCCAAGGAGGAGACTGACCTGTTTACAGGTATCCTGTGATACCTCTCTCTAATTTATGGGCAAAGGGAAGCTGAGAGGCCAAAGCTACAACCAGCATGTTGAAAGATCACCGACTGTATAATTTAAAGGCTGTTAGGTCAAGAGGAGAGGGCGTCTCACATTTGCAGGAGGATGCGACTCTTTAGGAATTGTTTGGAAAATCATACACGTCACCCGGATGACTTCTGTGCCCCTCCAATGGTATGTGTGTACCACCAGTTGAGAAACAACAGAGAAGGTCCTCTCTGGTCTTTTGTGAAGGCCGACTGGAAAAGAAGGGGCCAGGTCTCCCAGGGCCTCCTTGAATCAGGTGGGGATGGTGGTAAAAACAGTTCTTTTTAGCAATGGCATAAGAACCAACACGCGTCTTCTAGCAGGGGGTGTTCAGCCCAGCTTGGCTACTTGAGGGATGATGACTCTTAACAGCCTCGGGACTCAGTCCCTTGAGGAAGTGTTGCGTTAGCCACTTAATGCCTCTCTGGAGAAAGATTAAATGCATTTCAATGGAACAGGCCGAAGATTTGCAGTAAATTTTGCACCCGTTGTGCATAAGAGGAAAAACAGGAAAATCATTTATAAACGTAAATTTAGAAGCTAATCACACTAATCTTTGTATAAAAAAACCATATAATCTTAGAACGGCAGAGGGTCCCCGGGATCATTGCATCCAGCCCCTGTCAAGGAGGCCCAGTGGGGGATTTGAACATCCCAATGTCTAGAGCCAGAGACCTAAACCACGGAGCTACCCAGCAGTTGTACACCTTGCTACATTGGGAAAGACTGTGATCAGGTAAGTGTTTGCTGGCCAGCTCCTCACTCTGCTGCTGCACAGGTGGTAATGGGCCATCAAGGTCCCTGCTTGTCCCCCTTCTTATGGTTATTTACCTTGGAACCAAACCCATCCCCATAAGGATAATCTTGCAAACAGAAGAGGCTTGTGAATGGAAGCTGCTTTCAAACAGAGGACCACCCTCTGAAAAGTAGGATGCTTGGCCACTTAAGAGCAGACAAATCTGTACTTAGAGAAATGCTATAAAGGCCAGGAGATCTGAACTAGTGTGGTGAAGTGGGCGTATAAGTCTATCTTGTGACCCCCGTTCCCTTTTCAACTCATTTTAGTAGGCCTTTGAGAAGTTCAGATCAAACATGCCAAAGATCCAAAGCCCTTTCTAAATCAGAAACGAAGAGGTGTGCATTTGTTGATAATCTGGGTTTTACCGCATACAAACCAAGCAGATTAAAATAGCAAGAAACGTTGTTAAACCCGGATCAAATTCCCAAGAGGTAACTGTGTTTCAGAATGGAATAAAGACAAATGTTTTTTTTAAAAAAATACAACACAAAATCCTATGATACCTTTAGACAAGTTTATTGTTGAATGAATGTTCATGGATCACCCACTTCTTCAAGGGTGTCTGGAGAAAGAACTGGATTATCACCCACCAAAGCTGACAACACAATTAAATGTGCCAGAATACTTTAATTTTTGTGGGGGGTAGGGGTTGATATATACCAAGACCTGACTGAATAACCATGGATCAACAAAGCTGGTGAATTACTCTTTCAGGTAAGTTTGCGAAAAGGGGAAACTAATATTTCTGTTAATGCAAGAAGCCTTTTGGGTGGGTTTGTCTGCTTGATTGTTTGATTTTAGAGGTTGCAGATACATCTCATGGCTGGAACCGAAGAAGTCTTCCTTCAGAGAAGGGAGAAAGTCTCTTTGAAATACAAGCTTTCTTGTCTTCTGCTGTTTTCGCAACCATTCCCATTAAAATTTACTTTCCATCGGCCTAAGGAGGCAGTTGTTAGTAGAGTAACAGTTATTGTAGGAGAGGTTTCATGGCGGCTGCAAATGCATTTTGGGGCTGTGGACTTCCAGTAAGTACAGCCTGTCTCCGGCAAAGTGCACAGGGCCCCCTCCTCTTTCCGAAGAGGGAAAGGTCGCCTCAGGTCTCTGACATCTTCCCGAGCGAAGAGGTTCGAAGACAGGATGGGAGATGACAGGCCTCGTCCAGGGAGAAGACGCTGGACTGTCAGAACCAGCCGGAGCCTAAATTATTCACAAAGATGTCCTCGGAGAGGAAGGTACGTGGAAGAAGACGACAGGAGGAGGCCGGGGAAAGCTCGCCACGTCTGGAACTGGGGAAACTGGAGCATAACCATGCGCCGGTTTTTGCTTGGCTTATTTCTTTCCATGAACTGAACTTGGGGCGTTGGCTTGGAAAAGTTTCTTTACACCCCCAACTGGATGTGGCTGTAACCCATAAGAGAGAGAAAAACTCGTCTAATCAATGTTCAGATCTCGGACAACATAGTCCTCTTGGGCTTTCCATCTCAGGTGCCTTCGTTTCTACCCAGAACTGCTTTGATCAAATCGTTTACTTCTCTCCTCTTGTGGATCAAGCTGTGGCCTTCCCTCCGTCTAACGCCCGACACTGGCTACCCGAAGCCAACTCTCTCTCTCTCTCTAGCCAGATAGATGTCTTGTGGTCATGGCCAAGGGATTAGGGTGCCAGCCTGGGAATCCGAAGACACACCAACCCCCCGCCCCCCTTCAAATCCCTGCTTGGCCCAGAAGCTCACATTGGCCTTGAGCCGGTAACAGACTCTTGACCTGACCTACAGCAGGAGAACCACTCAACAGATTGCCTCCCCCCCCCCAAGAATCAGCTCTATCAATTTCTTAGTCTTCTGCCCTTAACAGTAGCCACATCTTGCCAGCTAAAGCCAAATTCTCACTTTCCCTTAGGGAAGGGCCAGCCCCTGCACACCAGAAAGAGCGGTCTGCCTCACGGATGGACAAAGGGACCCATGGACCCCCTCCCCTTCCCATTTCCCTCCCCTTCAGATTTACCACTCCCCAATTCATCCTCCTTTCCTCACCTTCGGTTATACACCCAGCCGCCTGAGTTTATTTCAAGGAGACAGGAGGGATTTTTTTTGGCTGGACCGCGGTTGCTATGGCAACGGGATGCAGGAATGGTTAGGGATAGGTTTGGACTGGGGGGGGCGGGCGAGAGAAGAAGGCCCAGGCGGGCGGCACAGCTGCACCGATGCGTTTCAAAGCTATTCACGATGAAACAATATCGGAACATTAACGGAAGGGACCTTTCAGCCCTGGGATTCATCCCATGACAGGAGGGCCGTGGTAAAGGCGCATCTTCTGAGCACTGTACAGTGTCTATGCCATAGCCATTCTCTCCTTCCTAGAATTAAGGACTTGTTTCTCTTTCCTGAAACAAAAAAAAATCCCCACTTTTAAAAAATGTTTGCATTGCATCATGCCCTTACTTTTCCCACAAGACTATTTCCGAAAAGGAGCTACGTAGTTTGAAACAGATGACCTTGCAAATATAGAGAAATAACTTGTTTCTAAGTAATTTGGGATGACAGGCATCTATGCTGCTCCTTCTGAAGTTTCATCCCACAAAACAGTATTTTCCCCTCTGCTGTTATACTTCCCGTTTTCATACTCAGAACAGAGAGGTAGATAAATCAGCAATGTAACTTGTATCACTCCTTTTGAGGCCTCCCCGATGGAGAAGAAATGATGGCTCTAAAACAGGCAATCTCTTGCTTGTACATATCACACTTAGGAAAAAGGGAAAAAAAGTCAGAGAAATTATTTGACTTATTCCAATATATTTTCCCTTTCTTAGATCATGCAGCACAGAGTCGCATATATGAGATTCCCAATTAGAGAGCTTATTTACACAATTCATTTAAAATTCTAAGATCACACTCTAGATAGAAATATAAGCTTAGCGGACAGAGCCAGTTTTGTCTGGAATCCTGTTGTCTCCAAACAGCAGCAAACCGAAACTGCATTAACTGACCGGTGCGCTCCTTCTGGCTCATTGTTATGCGCTCGGGGCACAGCCAGTTTGCATGGTCTTTTGTGTGTCCAGGCACATGGCACATTCCTAAAACACTATGAAAGCCACTTGCCTAATTTCCCTTATCAACACAGCATTTCCCAACAGGATTCTAGTTTTTCCTTTAAAAACTAAACATGGGTTTAAAAGAAGAACTATGAGCAGAGCAACAGCCTCCTAGTTTAATTTCCTGCTTGTATGGAGGCATTTAAAAAAAGGAAGGTGTCAACGACCCACGAGTTATTTAAAGACCAATCTGTTTGTTTGTTTCAGGATAAGAAGCAACAGCAGGCGTGGAAACCTTGTTTTATTCCCTTCTCGATTAAGGAATCGGGTGCTCTCTAGCGGTGCTTCTAAGCAAATAACCCAGTGGCCGAAAGCCGTCCTCTTTTTCCTCCTCCATTTTTCATGGACCCTTTTCGGGATTTTAGGAGTCAGGGACCATCCCCACCCACCCACATCTCCCCATTTTTAATCTCTCCTCGTCCTTCACCCCTTCTCCATTCAGCATCCTCCTCCCTTCTCCTTGGTGCATTCCTGAAATCCTATGGAGCCCCCCTCTTTTTGTTCCCTTGGCAACGGGTAGCAGGCCCAGCCACGGTTGCCATGGTGATGCCGGAGCATCTTTTTAGGGCTAGACAAACATGCCCCCCCTCAGCCTACACTGGCCTTTTCTAATTCACTCCCCACTTCCTCCTTCTTGGGGGGCCAGACCAGCTGGGGGAGGGGAGGGAGACATGGCCAAATCGTCATTCTGAAACATTAAAACTATACTGTGGCTATTAAATGTCTTTTTAATGATGTCACAGAAGAGCACCCTTATTTCTGGGTTTTGTATCCATGAAAACGTACCATGTAATAAAATTATCTTTAAGCTTCCCAAAGGCTCCTATTTCTGCTATCACAGGCCCACCGAGCAAACTCTCTGGAAATAAATGTTTATTCTTGAATTATTATTTTTTTTTTAAGTCAATTCAGCCTTATGTTACAAACTGGGGTTAATGAATTCTGACACTGTCTAAGGCTTTCTTCCAACACACTCTGCACTGGGTGGGTCGGTGTAAATATTAGCTGATCCTCTGTTTCTAATCCTTGCTTTTTGCTTTGGCACAGTGGGTTGCACTGCGGCATTAAAATATGTTATCTATATCTGTATTTTGGAGGCACGCGCTGGGCTGTGGGTCTTTTTATTTTTTTTAATTTTCTCTCTGCTGGCTTAACACACAAAAGCTAAACAAAGACAATGTGAACGGTGGTACTCCAGAGCCGAACAACCCCTTACCAATGACTCATCTTTAGAGCTGAAGGCATGTTTGTGTTCCGCAGATATGATTCAGGCAGACATTTGTGCCTGGGGAAAAAAATCAGACTTCTAAATGAAGATCCGTCTCCAAGGCCAATCACCAAACCAAGCAAGCTAATTACAGGAGAGGAGAAAAGCTGGGTGTGACAATCTAACTCTGTCAGCAGTCGAGGATTTACCTGTTCTAATAACGGGTTGTCTATAAAGTCCAGTTTGTTCCACCTTCTGCCAGAATATATAAAGTGGAGTACAGATACTTTTTCCTATCCAGACTCCTTCAGGTACCCAAAACAATCACTCCTCCACAGGGTTTTCTGTCCTTTTGTTTTTGAGACCAAGTCCATCTATGACATCATGAGCAACCTCATAAGAAAAGATGAGGGGGCATCACTGGTGAGGCTGCAGGTGAGTGGACTGGAGGCAAGCATCAGGAGCAGCTAAACAGGTATGGTTGCTGTTGTAAACTGGACAAACAGATGGGATGGGAGGGGTGTGGAAAGAATAATTTGCTTCTAGCTGACCACCCTTTCTATGTGCAGCTGCCCACCATGGCAGAACAAGATACGAGGTTTCTCTCACTGGAACACCGGAACCAAACTTTGGTGAGTGTCCTTAAGAATCAAAAGTTCTGCCTGGCCAAACCCAAGTTGCAAAGAAAAGGAAAAAAACACCCACCAAAACCAACCCACTAGTTAAATCGCAAATGGAAGAACTCACACTTTGCTGTTTCTTCGTGACACTCAAAATCTGCCTGATTTATCTGCCTCATGGTTGGGCCAGCCCTGATGTTAGCTGGAGGCAAGCACCAGGAGCAGCTAAACAGGTATGGTTGCTGTTGTAAACTGGACAAACAGATGGGATGGGAGGGGTGTGGAAAGAATAATTTGCTTCTAGCTGACCACCCTTTCTATGTGCAGCTGCCCACCATGGCAGAACAAGATACGAGGTTTCTCTCACTGGAACACCGGAACCAAACTTTGGTGAGTGTCCTTAAGAATCAAAAGTTCTGCCTGGCCAAACCCAAGTTGCAAAGAAAAGGAAAAAAACACCCACCAAAACCAACCCACTAGTTAAATCGCAAATGGAAGAACTCACACTTTGCTGTTTCTTCATGACACTCAAAAACTGCCTGATTTATCTGCCTCATGATTGGGCCAGCCCTGATATTTATTTGTTTGTTTGTTTTATTTATATTAATAATTATATTATTAATTCATAATTTATTTATAAATTATTATAATTTCTGTTTTGGAGTTCAAATTTCATCCCATCCTTTCAAAGGCAAGACTTGGGGAAATCTTTTGGATTCTGGCGAACAGCAGGAAATCTTGTAAGCTAAGCCTTGTGTTGTCTCGTCGATTCATCACCGAGAAATGGCCATTATGCAATAAATACAAGGGCAGGTTGTCTGTTTACACGATTTCAGAGGCACTGCAGAACAGACATGAAATACAGCAGTAAATCTGAACGACAATCAAAAGATAATAAGGCACAGATAATATTCAGCAAACACGTGAGTCTTCGAGGAAGACTAAGAAACTTTTTCAATACCCATACTGTATTTTTTTAGGAGATAATTTTAAGGAGGATGCTGGGAACCAGGCTGGTTTCAGTTGTATCTAGCACCAGGGAAGTGGCTAATGTGAAATATCAGCAAACTTGTGGAACCTTTGTTTCCTATAGATGGGGAAGATCAGGTCACTTCAGACAGCTAATGCAAACCTGAAGCTAATGGTGAGTCCTGCAGAGAACCCTTGTCCATTTCTGGGTTTTATCATGAAGGATGGCAACCTTTCCCCCCTGCGCAATGAGAAATCAGCGTGGTGCAGTAGTTAGTGGTGGATTCAGACTCAAGAGATTGGGGGGGTCAACCTTGGTCATGCAACTCACTGAGTGACCTTGGGATGATCTTACTCACACTCAGCCTAGGTAACTGCATGAATGTGAGGCTAAAGGAGGGAGGGGGACAGTCATGTAAGCTGAGCTGATCTCCTGGGAAAAAACTGAGTAATGTAACTAATAAAAATAAGAACAGCAAGGAATTTGGGTCCCCATGGCAGATGTTAGCTCAGCTCAAAGACTGTTTACAGCTCAGAAGGCTTTGTATAATAATAACTGTGTGCTGTTGAGTCAATTCCAGCGCATGGCGACCCCTTCCAGGGTTTTGCAGGTAGAGAGTACTCAGAAGTGGTTTCCCCCTTCCCTTCTTCCCGGGGTGTCCTGGGAGGACTCTGCAGCTGGCCCAAGGCCACCCAGGCTGGCTCTTCTCCCAGGAGGCACCAGTAGGGGAATCGAACTCACAACCTCTGGCCCCGCAGCCAGAGATCTAAGCCGTGGAGCTATCCAGCCAGTTGCAGAAGACTTTGGGAGGTCTATAATTCCTCAACAGTACCTCTCCTCTCCCCTTCGCCCAAAGATCTCCATCCAAGAAGACAGCAGAGGTGAGCCCCCCTCACCTCCCTGATCTCTAATCAGTCCCGTCTTCTCCCGATCTTTACAGAATTCAAGGCTGAAGGAAGAAAACGAAGGTGAGAGGCCGGTTTGAGTTTCTTCGGTGTCAAGATTTGGGACACTGCCCTTATCTGAAGCAAAACAAAAGCAAAGCAAAGCATAGGTAGCCTGGCCTGGCTGAGACCCAAGAGTTTGGAATGGTCATTAGGTGCAGAACGGAGTTTTGAAAGGAAGCTAAAACCCAGCCAGGGGTGTTGGGACAAAACGAGGAAGATGCCTCGGTTCCTCTCTTCTTGGGCGAACTCTTCAGCTCCTTCCCCTTCTCAGCAGGACCGGTTCCTCTCTTCTTGGGCGAACTCTTCAGCCCTTCTCAGCAGGACCAGCCAGCTAGGGTCTGAGCAGGAGGAACATCTTCCTTTCCTTCAGCCATCATTTCCATGTGCCACCATAGACACCCTTGCCTGTGTGGGATTGCTATTTGGCTACCTTTTAAAACCCATCCTCTGTGACCCCCAGAGATTTCAGGGCGGCTTACACCTGCCTCCTTCACCTTGATATGACTAGACACCAGGTGTGGGTCAGCAAAATGAAAATGTAAAACCAGGGCCTAAACGCCTGGGGTGAGCATGGCAAAATGCCTCCTTCTGCCTAGAAGGTCCAGGGACCTTTAAGAAGCATTTTTCTAAATTGACTGTGGGGGCCGAGAGGGTCGGGAATTGCTTTATTTCCACCCCTAAGCCTACCTTGAGGAGCTGTAGCTCCCTGAATCTGTGCGGCCTCGCCATTAACAAATATCACAAACTACTTCCAGTTGATTTGACCATACTTGATACCAGTAGAGGGTAAACACTTAGAAAATATTTATCTTTTCTTTGTATGATATTTTCCTCACCGACTTGTCCTTCTCTTCCACAGTCATCAAGTCGAGAGAAAAACTCTTACTTAGGTATGTATTGTGTATTTATTGCGGATTGTTTATTGATCTCTCGGGTTACTTGTGAATTAAAATGCTGATTTTATACAGCCTGGGTTCTGGTTAAATGTTTCCAAACCACTTAAAAAAACATTTAAAAGCAGAAACCACACCTTAGCACTGAAAAATGCATTGGAATAGAAGCAGCTTTTTTTTTTTACTGAGTTGTACAAATGATGCATCTAGTTTAATATTGTCATCTCTGACTGGCTTGAGGGTGGATTCTCACACTCAGCCTTTACTGGAAGGTGTCAGACATTAAAGCTGACATCTTCATGGGCTCTGCCATTAAGCTCTCTCCCTTCCCTCAAACGTTTATTTCCTAAACTTTGAGGAACATTGTTTAATTGGTCAAAAATATTTTCTAAAGATGGTATTTTGTAAATATGGAACCATATATCTCCAGAAATGGTGTGATTTTGAATTGAGTTCTGTTTCCTAAAATAAAATTGGAGAGAGGGGGCTGAATGCCTGCTCCACCAATCTTTGTGATTTAAAATGTGTGAGAAATTCTGCGTCCTCCTGGCCTTTCACGCCACTTTTCTGCCTCGAATTCCAGAGACAATGAAAAGATCAAGCAGAAGGTTCACCACCTCAAGGAACTGCAGGAGTCTCTGGTAAGCGCCCTTTCCTCCTCGGGCTTGCTAAGGTTTATGCTGGCCTTTGCCTGGTGCAAGGGTCGAATCCTGACCACCTTAGAGGCTGGGCTGGTCAACCCTAAGTCCTGCTATAATGGGCCACCCACCATACTCCTGCCGTATGAGATGTCAAGGGGAGACCTTCTCAGGATTTGTGCCACCTACTGTAAAAGACCTTGCCTGATGTCCCTCTCTTCATCCTTTTAGCATCGGGTCAAGCTAATTATCTCAAGATGTATTTATTTATTTTTATTCCAGTGGCTTTATGCTGTTTTTTTGCAGCCATTTCGGTCAATTTGAATGTCTTTGCAATGAGATTGGTGTCGTGTTGTTGCTTATACACCACGCAAGGAAGATGCTTGATGGGTGGCGTAAAATATGTGCCAAGCAAGAGAAGAAAAATCTGTGACTGTGATTTTGACCACACTGGCCGGGGGCGGGGGGGGGGATTTGAGGAGTCTCGGACTGGATTTCTCCAAACTTTGCCTATAATAATTGAATACAGAACCAAAAGCAGATAGCCAAGATGCCAAAATTCTAAAGGCATCAGTGGTTTTAAGAGGTCTCAAACTTGAGAGTTTTCTAGGCATCTGCAAACTTTAGAGGTGATCTGATTTGGGGAAAGGTTTTCCAAACGCTGGGCTGTTTCACATCATCTTGACTCTGCCAGCGAATTCAGCAAAAGTACATCTCTGCCATTAACTAATTAATGTCTCTCTCTTTTTTTTCCTCTTGCTTTCAGCAAGACGATATTTACGTTCTGGAGGAGCAGCTGTGTAAGTCATACAAGATCCTTCGGTCCAAGGCTGGTTCATCCTTGAGAAGGCAGCCCAGGACAGGTTTCCCCTTGACCCGATTTGAAAAAGGCCCTTCTGCATGATAAACACTTAGAGATGTTGTTTTAAACACTTGGAAATGACCCCAAAGATTTTAGGTGGTGCAGATTTAAGAGGGAAATGGAAAACACAGTTCCTCACAAGGAGCTCAATGCAAACCTGTGTTAATGTGTGTCAGGATCCAGACTTTAGGTGCAGTTGATCTTCCCTTTGGTTCCTTGCGATCCGTTTACACAGGAGGTGTTCCAGGCCAACAGTTTTGGGGGGGGGGAATTTATCCGTGGCTCAAAAACCCTTCCAGTTCTGTTGCATTTTTAAAATTGCTCAAGCTCTTAACATCTTAAACCCGTCCTTTCCAAAAAGACCTGATTTTTGGACATAAATGCAGTCTGACAGCTCTTCCGTAAATACAACCCAAATCGTTCAGAGAAGAAATCAGAACGGCATATGGTTGTGATTTTCTTTATGTGTGGCTGAGTTAGCTGATGTTGGGC